GGTCCAGGCCAACCCCCCCCCAGGTCCAGCCGCCGGCCCTCGTCACGGCGCCCCCCCCCGTCCCCCCTACCAGGTTCGGCCAGCGCACCCTCGGGCCGAGGGTCTGTGCCGGGGGCAGCCTTACCTGGTCTCTTCCGGAAGCTCCTCGATAAAGCCAGACTCGCATCTTGGGCAGATGTAATCCTGCGGGAGGAGAGGGCAGAGCGTGATCTCTGGGCTGCGGCAGGGCCAGCACGGGTGTCATCTCAAGGCCCTGGGTGTGAACCCGCCAGGTCCGGCCGGGCCGCCCCGGGCAGGGCTGGCACACAGACGCCCTTGCCCGTGGCTACGGCCTCCGATGCTCCCCTCACAGGTGGGCTCCGAGCTCCCTGGTGGCCTCCTCAACCTCCCATGTCCCCGAGTCCATCAGCTGGTGCTCCCCACAGACACAGAAGTCACAGTTTCGGGGCCTCCAGTCAGCCGCATCCATCAACAAGCTAGTTGACGTGGGTTCAGCAAACTCTCCCAACTTGGGGGACACGAGAGTGTTCTGTGACACCCTCACCCACACACGCACAAAAAGGAGGGAGGCTGGGAGAGCGACTAGCGGGGCTCCGGACTATCTGGGCCTCGGAGCAGATCTGCTCCCAGGAAGGTGGCTGCCAAGGGCGGGAGGCACCACCCAGGCAGAGGGACCGGCCTGCGGAACATTCTGGCAGCCCCAGCATGCAGCGCATGACACCAGGCTGGAGCTCGGCTCCATCCACACCGGCCACCTGCCCTCCCAGCCCTTGCTTTCCCCAGGCCGGACAGCCAGCGGGCAGAGACCATGATGTTCCAAGGCAGCGGAGAGGGGGACCCGCCCCAGGGACGGCAAGACGTCTGAGCACCAAAGCCGCCACTCAGGCCCAGAACCGGGCCCAGGCCACACGTGTCCCAAAGCCACGCAAACAGGGAGCTGAGCTGCGAGCGTGAGGTCCTTCCACCCGAGGCCAGCCGCGTACCCACGGGGAGAGGCGCGGTTCCCGGGGGCAGAGGGCACCGCTGGCCTTGCCACCCTCTGCGGGGAGCAACGCCGGGGCGCAGCGGGCACGGCCCACCCTGCGGACGGCGGGACCACCACGGTGCATACCGTGTCCCCCCACCTGCCCCGCTCCAGAAAGCAAAGGAAGGTCGAGGATCAGAGGACACTGTCTGAGCCATGGGGAGGGCGGCTGGAGCTGCACAGGTGATGGGGACTTGTATCCAGAATACCTACAGAACTCTCACAATTCAACGACAAAAAGACAAACACCCTGGTTAAAAAACGGCCAGAGAGAATGGTAGTGTGATGAAATGGAAGATTGGGATTGACATACATACACTAATATGTATAAAATGGATAACTAATAAGAACCTGCTGCATAAAAAAATAAATAAAATAAAATTCAAAACTTCAACAACAACAACAACAAAAACTGGACAGAGGATCAGAACAGACGTTTCTCCCAAGACAGACAAGTGGCAACAAGCCAAGAATAGACACAACACAGTCAACAGGGAAACGCAACCCGAAACCAGCGGGACACACTTCACACCCGCCCGGACGGCTGGACCCACAAAGCCAGCAGGGACCAGTGCGGGGAGGAGCTGGAGAAATCGGAGCCCCTACATGGCCAATGGGGGCGTGAAACGGGGCAGCGTCCTCGGAAAACAGTCACAGTCACCCCACGACCCTGATTCCACTGCCAGGTGCCCACCAGAGGCAACAGAGACACACGTCCACAGCAGCCAAAGGTGGACACAACCTAAGTGTCCACCAGCAGATGACGGATAAACACCACATGGTCCCTCCACACACGGGAGCATCACTCGGCCACGTAAAGGGGTGAAGCCTCGACACTCACTACAACGTGGATGGACCCTGAGAACACGATGCTCAGTGAGAGAAGCCAGACACAGAAGGACACACAGTGTGTGATTCCACTGATGGGAAACGTCCAGAACAGGCCAATCCACAGACACAGAGAGTGGACTAGTGGTTGTCAGGGGCCGGGGTGACAGCTGATGGGCACAGGGCTTCTGTTTGGGGTGACGGAATGTTCTGGACTTGGACAGAGGTGACTGCTGGCTTCAGGACTCTGAGTGGACTGAACACACCAACGTGTACGCTTTAAGTGGGTGGAGTGTATCGCAATAATGCTGAGCCAGAAACAACAGGGATGGCAGTGCTCTGCCCTCCTGAGCAGGGGCGAGGGGCCCAGGGGAGGCTCCCCTACACAGTGAGTGGCCACGACAGTAGTCACTGGCGTGGGATTTCCAGGGCCGGCGGGGACATCACTCAGGGGCTCCTCCTAAGGCCCCCCAGCCAGCCCTCAACCTGTTGTTTATTTCAACGTTTCACAGGGTGCAAAACATGGCCACAGGAGGCTTAGTGATGGGTGGCCAGGTGACCAGGGTTCTCACACCCTCTGGGAGCCCCCGGGGGGAGGGCAATGGACACAGGCAAACGTGGCTGCAGGTGAGTCTGCGGTGACCGAGGTTCCTAACCTGGGAACCAGACGGCCCCTGAACACAAGCTCACAGGAAAGCTAGGACTCTGGCCTGCCCACACCACCAGGGTCTGACCTGGGTCAGCAGGCAGGTCCAGAACCTCACTGGAGCCTGGCAGAACCCCCGTGAGAAGCGTCTCTCTCTCTCTCTCTCTCTCCTGGGGACCCTGCCTGCCCCAGGCCCGCACCCTGCCCCGGGGTGAGCCTGGAAGAGCCAGGGTGGGGCCGGCGCCACACCCTGCTGGAGATCGGGCATCCCCTCTTCCACTCTTGAGGCTCGCCACTGCTCCTGGGTGCCTGAGAGCCTGTCACCTCACCATTCTCTGGGGTCCCTGTGTCTCCCTGAGCCCAAGTGCTCCCCACCTCACCTTGCAGCCCCAGAACAACCCAGCCCGGCCACGCCCACTCCCAGCTCCACCCATCTCTGGGCCTCTTCCATCCCCGGTCCCCTGTGTCCCCTTGATCCGAGCAGATATCTACCTGGCTTGCTCCCTCTTGGAAGCTGGGTCTGCTCAAACATCACCTCCCGGCTGCAAGCCTCGGTCTCCCCATCTGCAAACGGAGGGTGGCCTCAACCCCAGGCTCTGGAATCCGGCAGCCGCGGCTGTCGTGCAGCTCAGTGCCGGCTGTGGTCAGGCCCTGCTCTGCGCCCTCCATCCTCGGAGAGCCCCACGCCCTGAGACTGAGCGGGCTGGCCGGGCAGTGCTCGCCCCGCACGCAGGGGTTCAGGCAGGGCCCCGGGCTCCGCTCGCCGGGTGGGGAGGCCCAGGCCCTGGCCCTCCTCCAAGGGCACGCGCCTGAGATTTGTATTGCATCCCTGGGTAATAAAAGCCGTGGAACCCTGGGATGGCGTGCTCGCCCCCCACAGGGCAGGGCCTGTCACCCTCGGCAGGACCCTAGCTCGTGAGCACCTGTTCCTAGCCGAAGACTCCTCGTCTTGGGGAGATGGCCGGCAATGGGGCCGTCCTGGCATCATCACCACGGCAACAGCCGCCACCGGCAGACAGGGAGTGCGACATTTACTGAGCGTTTGCTCCCTGTGCTCGGCCAGCTGGGACCCGCAGAGACAGGCCTCACCCTTCACGCGCCCCTTCACACCACGTGCAGACCCAGGGTCCCCGGCCGGGCGCGTGTGGTGAAGCCGGGGACGCTGAGGTGGGAGCTGGAGAGACGCTGGCCTCGGCGGGCCCAGGGCCCCCAGAAAGGGTTGGGGCGCAGAGCTGCGGGGAGTATGTGAGCTCAGGTCCAGACACAGACATGACGAGACTCCCCACGCCCCTGCAGCCCCTCGTGCTCCCAGCCTGGGCTCACCAGCCCACAGACCCCAGGGGCAACCCTCCTCAGATGTCCCTGGGCCCAGGGGCCCACCCAGACCCCATGGGCAAGTGCCCCCACCCCGCAGCACTCTCTTCTGCGTCTTAGCAGCTGCCCCGCAAAGCGCATTCACGCCCCTCTGTTCCCCCCAGCGTCTGTGAGCCCCACACATGCTGCTGAATGCCGGGGTGCAGCACCGTCCCGGGGCCTCGCATCACCTGCGGCCTGCTAGGTGCCGGCAAGCTCCCATCGACGTGACACGCGGGCCCACCCTGCCGGGGGTGCGCCTCACTTCAGCCTCCAACGGCGCTGGGAGGCTTGGAGGTGCAGCCAGGGAGCCCCACAGTGTGGCTCTGTCTGGCGCCCCTCATCCAGCCACCCCTCCGGGGCTCAGCCCCCTGCTGCACCCCCAGACTCCCGCCCTGCGCCGCACCGGCTGTCTCTGGAGCAGCCGTTGGGTCAGCCCTGTGGGGCAGCCCTCATCTCTGGGCCCCTGGGTCTCAGCTCCAGGCCCAGTGCTGAGCCTCCCTGGGCCTCGGCAGCAGTGGGGGAAATGGGCGCCCTCGGCAGCTGCACAGCACGCCGCCGGGCGGGTGGGGGCCCAGCCTGCTCCCCAGCGGCTCTGTGTGGAGGACAAGGTGCGGGGGCGTAAGGCTGGGGACACACACTGGCCTTCTTTCCTCACCCTGATGGCCCTCCGAGGCAGCTGCCAGGTCCTGTCCCCGTCCTCCGACCCTGCTCAGGGACACTTCTGAGAGGAAGACAGGGGCCATCCACAGGACAGCAGGCCTCAACAAGGCCACCCGTGGTGGTGGGCCAAACCCCAAACGCCACCTGGTCCGCCCACCCGCGGGCCCTGCCCGCGGACGCCCCATGTCCACCTCGTCCCCGGTGCTCCCGTTTCCTGGGGGAATGGAGTCTGGGCCTGCGCACCTGCACAGAGGCCTCCGGGTCAGCCAGCCGGTCCAGTTCCTGCTCCCACATGCCCGCTCCAGGCAGGCACCAGCCCCTCCCCGGCTTCCCGGGGCCCCCCTGCCCACGCGTGCCCATCAAGCACAGGGGTGCCCTCGCCAACGCGTCTGACAGGCGAGGAGACCGAGGCCCAGGGCGTCTGGGCTGCTGGGAGGAAGCCTGCGGGCAGAGGGCGGGCAGAGGGCCGCGACAGCAGGTCAGGAGAAGCGGCTCAACACCAGCCAGCGTCTCACTGAACACCAACCTTGGGGCCGGTTTCCCGTGAATAGAGGTCCCTGCTGGCGGGCGGCAGGGGGCGGGGGGGCAGGGGTGGTGGTGGTGGCGGGGAGCGCAATTGCTCATGGGGAACTTCCAACATCACCACGTTAAGAGCCCACCTTCCTGCCCCCGAGAACACCAAGTGCGCCCCTTACTCATAAACAGACACCCACTCTACTGGGCCTCTTCGAATCCCGTCCCAAACTCCACGCCGGTCCCCTCCCTGCCATTATTTGCGCTTAACAGAATTTACCAACGTTCCCGATCAAATATTTGCCAATCGCCTGTTCAGCGTTGGCTCCCTATAAACTGGGAGGGCAAAGGTCATGGCTACCTTGTCACCACTGGATCCTGTGACTAGGAAAAAGCTCGCTAGCCCAGTGACAGTTGGAAAAGGTCAGGGTCCTTCTGGGCCAGGACCCGGGCCCCAGGCTGGCCCCAGGAGGGGAGGCCAGAATAGCTAGCAACACAGACTGCTCGGCCCCAGGCTTCCGATGGCTCTGGACAGGCCACTCTGGGGTAAGCCTGAGACCCAGGGCCTGTCCGGGGCTCACAACAGCTGCTAGGGGCTGCGTGCAACTCCTCCAGGCTGGGGACTGTCCTGCGACCAGCCCCTTTCTGCCAGTCCAGAAAACCAAACCCATTGCTGGGGCGCGCAGGGAGCCGGAAGAGGCAGAAGGAGGACTTCTTCCGGGACGCTGGGGTGGGGGAGTGGGGCAAGTCTCAGCTCCTCAAGTCTGCTCATGCACCCAGGGTTTCGATTTATGCCCCCCACCAAGCCCCTTGCCTCTGGAAGCCACACCACCTCTACCCTTTCTCTCCTCCTGGGCCCAGGCACCCCTCTCCGCTCCAAACCCTGACTAGCTCACTCTCCTCTGAAGCTGCGATGATGTCCACCAACTCCTCCTGCCTCCCCCAGGGAAGCCCACAGCTGCAAAGGCAGGACTAAGAGTCTGGCTCTAAAATCAACCAGGTGACCAAGGAGAGCTGGTACTCTATCAATCGTCGCCACCTGCAGCTCCTTCCCCTGGTCAACCGCACCGCCCGCTTCTTGCTCCCCGGGAGCTAGCCGAGCGGCAAAAGCCAGGAGCGGGGCCGCCCTGGGGCGCCGTGCCTTCAGTCTTCCACCCGTGCAGTGGGGGAGGGTCGGCCGGGAGCTGGGGCACTGATCCCATCCTGGATCTACCGACTCGGAACTTCCGGGCTGAGGGGTCTGGAAACCGAGCCTTTCACGAGCAGCCCTCCCGCGGCCTCCACCCGGGCGAGGGCGCAGGGCCCACCTGGGTGCAGGCCCCCACCCCCGGGAGGCAGAAGAACGCAGGATCGGGCCGCCGTCGGGCCCGGGAGAGCGGCGACTCCCTCCCACGAGGCGGCCGCGGCGCCGACCGCGCTCGGGGCCGGCCCCGTTCCCTCCCGGCCGCCGGCCCCGCTGCGCCACCAGGGCCGCCCGCTTCCGGGCCCTCAGCGGGGACCTCAGTTTCCCCGTCCGAGCCAGCTCGCCTCAGGCTGAGGCAAAGGCCCCCGCCCGCCTGGCCTGGGCCTCACCGGCAGGCGCGGCACGATCTCGACCGAGCAGCAGTGACAGAAGTACCGTCCGGGCTGCGGTGACGCCTCGGCCATGGCCACCGCCGCCTCCTCCGCGCCGCCCGCCCCCCGCGCGGCACTCGCCGCCCGCCGCCGGCCGTTTGCTGCTCCCTCGCCGGCCGACGCTCCCGCGCACGCTCACGCAAGGCACGCAGGGCACGCACGGCGTGAGACAGGGAAGGGCGGCGGAAGCGGGGCAGGCGGCGCACGCGGCGGGCGGTAGCCCGGGCGACGGTGGCTGCCGAGGGGCAAACTAGGAGCGGGCGCAGGGCCGGGGCGGGGCCAGGCTGTGGGGATGGCAGGGGGGCGTGTCCTGAGGGGGCGAGGCCGAGTACCTTTGGCAAACCTGGATCAGGGCCCGGGGTGGGGTTGGGGGCGGGGCCGAGGGCTGCGGGGAAGGCCGAAGGCGGGTCTTGGGCGGGGCCGAGCCCCTCCTCTTATACAAATCTACAAAGGTCCCCGCTTCCCTCATTATTGCTCTTACTGCCAAGTCCCACCTTTCTCTCACCTTTCTGTCCTCACTGTTCCTGGGACGCTCTTGAGCGCTCTCACCTCCGGGCCTCTGCACTGGCTGTGCCCCTACCCGGTGCACCATTCCCAAGACACCTGCGTGGCTTCCTAACCCACGCGTTTCAAGTCTTTGCTCAAATGTCCATCTCTTGAGGCGCCCTCCGCAATAGCACTTATTTGCAATAGCACTTATTTCCGCCTGATAAACTGTAGGGTCAGCTCTACAACAGAAGGGATTTTTGTGTCTTGGTCCCGGCTGGACTCAGAACAGTGCCTGGCACACAGGCAATCCATAAACATTCGTTGAATGTATACAGACAGGAGACCCATTCCTGAATCAAGGAGGGCTGCCCTCCCATGCCTCAGTGTGACACATGGGATAAGAGAGTCTGAGGCCTGCCAGGTATGGCCTTGTTTCCATGATGCCTTTGGGTGAGAAGAGGGCAGAAAACCTAAACCCCCCAAAAAATTAATCAGAAGGCCAGGGTCATTTCTGAGGTTAGTTCCAGGCCAATCATGCACTTATTTCTTTATCCACTCGACAGACTTTCATTGAGCTCCTGTAGTATGCCAGACCCTTTGCTGGGTGCAAGGACACAGCGGGGGCAATCACAGACTCAACAGGCAATAAAAGTGGTTTTCTGAAGTACTCCATGTCTGGAGGAGACAGAGCTGGTTGCAGATACCCTCCAGCCCCGTGAGGTTGAGCCGGAGGATGAGCCCCTAGGGTAGACTTGGTTCAGCCTGGGGAGACGGACAGGACTTCCCAGGGGAGAGGACATTGGAACCAGGGCTTTGAAGAACGAATAGGAGTTGGTTGGAGTTGCGCTTCCTGC